TATTTGTCATTAGGTTTATTTCAGAGTATTGATAGAAGAGTCAAGCTAGACATAAATAAAAATTATTGACTAAATAATAATAATAAAAATGAATAATTCTAATAAGCAGGCAGTCCGTGTGACTTACATCTGGCTCTCAGGGAAAGATACCCACCATGATATTCGCAGCAAGGATCGCACGATGTATCTTTCTCAAAAGGATATATCTAAAACTCCAAAGTCGCTTGTGGAGGAAGGTGTTTTCCCCGTATGGAACTTTGATGGTTCGTCCACTGGACAGGCTAAAGGTCTTGATACTGAAATTTTGCTAAAACCTGTGAATGCTTTTCATTGTTGCGTTGATCACTTCTCAACTAAGATTTTGTGGATTTTAGTCCTGGCTGAGTGTTATCTGCCAAATGGTGAGCCAACGTTTGATAACACTCGAGCCTTAGCGCGTCAGATTTTTGAACAGTGTTTGGATGAGCACCCCTGGTTTGGTTTGGAGCAGGAGTATTTTTTAATTAAGAATAATCGTCCATATGGGTGGCCTGAGAAAGGGTATCCCGCACCTCAAGGTCCATACTACTGTTCAACAGGTTCTGGCGCGGCTATGGGGCGTAGTTTTGTTGATGAGCATTATGAAATATGTTTGGAAATGGGCTTGAATGTTTCGGGTACGAATGCGGAAGTAACACCGGGTCAGTGGGAATTTCAGGTGGGCCCTTGTGAAGGGTTGGAAATGGGAGACCAATTAATTGTAGCACGGTGGGTGCTTCTTCGAATTCTTGAAAAATACGACTTGGACGTTGACTACAGTGCGAAGCCAATCGAAGGTGATTGGAATGGTAGTGGACTTCATACAAATTTTTCCACCGAGACGACACGTGCTGAGAATGGGCTTGAGGCTATATACAAGTATATTGATCGACTGAACGAATCCGTGCAAAAGGACATTATATTTTATGGCGCAGAAAATTACAAAAGGCTAACTGGAAAGCACGAAACCGCAAAAGCAACTGAATTCAGTTTCGGTGTTGGTACACGCGGAACTTCAATTCGAATTCCGAACTCAGTGGCAAGCGAGAAGAGGGGTTATATGGAGGATCGTCGACCGGCTGGTGACGCTGATCCTTACTTGGTGACGTCGCGTTTATTTGCGTCTTGCGTCGGGCTTGAAACTCCCTCTCTTGATATTGCTTCCCCCTTACATGAGAAAGAATGGATGCGAAAGGCTTTTTCATAATTGCTTTTACGATACATAGATTGTTTCAAGCGTATTTTTAGGAATTATATCAATTATAAAATTTTATTATAAATTTAATAGCACTTCTTTTTTCGAAAATATCAATACTGATGAAAAAAATAATTTCTTGTAATGATAATTATTAAGTAAAATTTCCTTAATTAGATCTTTCAAAGGTCCCTTAATTCTTCGCTTCGTTCAATTTTCTTTATTTAAAAAGAAATTCTTTTATAATTAAGTATCTTATTTCGTAAGTCCAGTAACTCTGATGGATATGTATATATATTTATGGATGGTATACGTAGAATTCACTATTTTAAGATGGACATCAACTCATTACTTTTATTTTCTCTTAATTCCTAAAGCATATAGTCAAAAGCGATAAAAAGGGGAACTATCAATGCAAAATAGCATTTCAAAGCAAAATGATGGAAAGGATGCTTCTCATTTGTCTAAACGGAAGCGGCGAAGGAAAAAAACTAAATCCCTTTATGATCAATATTTTGAAGACTCTGCCAAGAAACATCTTTCAACCAGCTGCTCTGACTCAGACGAAGTAAATTCTGAAATAGATTGGGATTTTACTGTGGGAATGGACATAAACATCCTTTTACAACAGACAATCCAAAACTCTATTCGAAGTGTTTGTCTCGAAGATTATGATGGTTTATCATCGTTTGGTGATCACGAGCTTATTTGCTTTGCCGCCTCGATCAAAAATAATACCTCAATTGTTTCGCTTCAGATACGATATTTGAATGTTAGTGATGTTTCACTTGTATCTTTGTGTAATGCACTACTAAACCACCCTAGCCTTAGAGCACTTGACTTATCAGGAACTCGTGGTGGTGAGGCAACTAGTTCTGCACTATGCAATCTTGTATGCACAAATTCTTCAATCATTTTTGTTCGAGTGGATGACACAATTGTCAATCCAAAAGATAATGAGATAATCCAAATGGCAACTCAATATAACGCGATGATCTGTGCAGATCCCAATAGCAATCCATTTCAGTTGGGTCTTTTACATAAAATAAGTTTTATTGAAGAAAAAGTGCAGGAATACAATCAACAATTGAATGCGAGACCGTGGCTCTTGCCCGAGGATGGTGTAAAAAAAAATATCAGCGATAAGTCAAGCTTGAATTCTAAAAAAAGAGTTAAATTATTAACTGGTAGAGGCATGCAATTTGGCGCAGAAGTCTGCACTCAGTTTATTAATGGTTATTGTGCTTATAGTTCTCGTTGCAAGTATTTTCATCCAGAGAAAACAAGCGCTTTAAAAAACACAACTACAATTAATCAAAATCAGAGTCTCATTCCTGATAGTCATCCTTCTAATTCTTCAATTGTATTAACTACATCTTCCCGACATCAATCTTTGCAAAATCGTTTAAAACCACCATCTTTTACCTTGAATCATGATTCTGGTAGCAGTCGCATAAAGAATAATAAATTACCTAGTCACAATAATACCAAAAAAAAGGAATCTACTGTGTTCACACCTGCATTTTTTTTGCTATGGACGTCATGTTTATCAGCTACGATTTGCAGTATAAAATGTTTTTCTCTTTATCTTTGGAAAGATAAATAACGTAAATGTGAAAATTTTCGAGCTTTTTTTGTCGAAAGACTATTTGCTCTGCGTTTGTGGCTTCCGTGTATATGTTTTTACAGCACATAGAATATTTTCCAAAGATGAGCTAGCTATATTGTTCAATTTAGCAATAATAAACCATAGAATAATATTAGTCGCTCAATCTGCATTTTAGTCTTGTAAGATAAATAATGATCTTTTTAGCTTAGAGGTGAACCGATACATTGAGACTGTATTATTGTAGTTTTTTTTTTAGATATATTATTTTGATTTTTTATTCAATATATATATATATATATATATTGGGAATCTACTG